AAAAAAAAAAAAAAGAGGTAAGGAAAAAAATAAAAATTAAAAAAATTAGAATGCACAAACATTTATCAAATAAAAAAACTGATTAAACCTACAAATGAAAGATCATAAACCCTGGTTGAGATTAAAGTTCAGCATTAGAAATGTGAAAAATCTTCATATACAAAAGAATCTTTTTTTTTGAGACAATATCTCGCTCCGTCACCCAGGCTGGAGTACAGTGGCACAATCTCGGCTCACTGCAACTTTCACCTCCCCGGCTCAAGTGATCCTCCCACCTTAGCCTCCCAAGCACCTGGACTATAAGCACACACCATGCCTGGTTAATTTTTGTATTTATTTTGAGTAGAGACAAGGTTTTGCCATTTTGCCCAAGCTGTTTCTTGAACTCCTGAGCTCAGATGATCCACCCACTTTAGCCTCTAAAGGGCTAGGATTACAGGCATGAGCCTCTATGCCAGGCCTCCCAAAATATCTTAACTGGTCAGCTGCTGAATTAAGTAATGCATCTGGGATAAGGAGGACAGGTTAAGAATTATAAAATTTTAAGATTTTTAGTATGAAGACTCAGGGTGACATCTTCAATTCTAGAAAAGAAATCTAAGGTTCTGAAAGATTCTGTATCTTACCCAAGTCATGAGCTAGTTAAGTTAGTGATACAGCCAAGACCTAAATCAAGTTTCCTAATTCTAGGTTTTTCTTTTTCTTTCTTTTTTGAGACAGAGTCTCGCTCTGTCGCCCCGGCTGGAGTGCAGTGGCCTGATCTCGGCTTACTGCAACCTCTGCCTCCCGGGTTCAAGCGATTCTCCTGCCTCAGCTTCCGGAGTAGCTGGGACTACAGGCAGGCGCCACCACACCCAGCTGATTTTTGTATTTTTAGTAGAGACAGGGTTTCACCATGTTGGCCAGGCTGGTCTCCAACTCCTGACCTCAAGTGAACAGCCCGACTCGGCCTCCCAAAGTGCTGGGATTACAGGCATGAGCCACCATGCCCAGCCTTCTAGCTTTATTACACTGTTCAATACAAGTTGTTTAAAAGTTTTTAAAAACTGCTTTTTGGATTACTTGTCTGAAGTTACATTCTTGCAAGGTCTCATTAAAAACTTCAAAAGACCCTACACAAAGTATGATTGTCTCTCTCCCCTCACTTATAATTTAAATATAAAACAATCACAAAGTTTATATGTATGCTGATGTTAAAACAGCTCAATTTTATATTTTAAAAACTTCTAATTATTTTTAGAGACAGGGTCTTGCTATGTTGCGCAGACTGGACCTTAAACTCCCAGACTCAGGTGGTCCTCTAACCTCAGCCGCCCGAGTAGCTGGGACTACAGGCATACACCACCATACCTTGCTTATTATTTTTTTTTTCTACCTAAAATTTCTAGATCAGCTTTATTCAAACCGAAAGTCTTGTTATTTTGGAAACCTAGTTTGGTTTGTACTCTAAACACACGCTGAGATAATAAAACACTGCTCTTAGCTCTTCGTACCATCTTGGATCCTGCAGAGGCCTGCTGGAAACAGGACTTCTTAAAGGAAGAAGTGTATCTGGAAGGCTGTGGTCCAAGGCCATTTTTGCTGGCTCTAAGTGGGGTCTCCGGGAAAAAAGAGAGCACGCAGCTTTTCTTAAAATTGAATGTTTTTATGCCCCAGATGAAACTGAATTCTATTTGGGCAAGAGATGTGCTCATGTATAAAAAGCAAAGAACAACACAGTGACTCCTGGTGGCAAACCAAACAAAACCAGAGTAATCTGAGGAACGCCAACTCAGGCCCATGGAAACAGTGGTGCAGTTTGTGCCAAATTCCAAAGCAATCTTCCGGCTAACACTACTGGACACAGAATCTGAGCGACACTGTACCCCTCAAGCATTTAAACTAATGAAAAGTCAGTAAAAGTGGATCTGTGCTCTTGTAAAATAAATAAATGAAAAAAATACTGCTCTTAAAATCTAGAATTCATATGTTTCTTGATTTACAGCCAGAAGAGATTTCTAAAAACTGCCTCATTTCTGTCTCTTCTACGCTCTTTTTGTAAATGCCTGTGTAATGTGTAATACATTCATTTGACTCTAACCTTGGGCAAGTTATTTGACCCTTCCTGAGTTTGAGGTCAGTGTAGAAAATATTTACTGGTATCAAGTGCCAAGCATGGTACACGGTTTGCTCATGGTTGCCAAGGATTAAATGAGAATTTACATAATGCTCTTTGATACATAGCAAAGCCACAACAAATATTAATTTCATTCATGGGTGTTATTTCATCATTGAAAGTTTTTGATTCAATAATATATTCCCATTTTTTCCACTGTCTGAAAACTTAAATGTTACTAAGTTCAGAACAGTCCTGAAGATAGGGCAGTGAGAACTGCATTAAAGGAAACATAAAATAGAGATAAGATTTCCTGTTCAGCACATGTAAAACAGTATGAAGAAAACTCTGACGTCAGAAAAAATGTTCAAAATAATTTTTTGGAGGCTAGGCGCAGTGGCTCACACCTATAACCTCAGCATTTTGAGAGGCCGAAGCGGGTGGATCACCTGAGGGCAGGAATTCAAGACCAGCCTGGCCAACCTGGCGGCAATCCCATCTCTACTAAAAATACAAAAATTAGCCAGAAGTGGTACCTGTATTCCCACCTACTCGGGAGGCTGAGGCAGGAGAACTACTTGAACCCAGGAGGTGGAGGCTGCAGTGAGCCGAGATCACACCACTGCACTCCAGTATGTGCGAAAGAGTGAGACTCCATTTCAAAAAATAGTAATTTTTTAAAGTCAGACACATTAGGGTAGGTATATAATAATTTACTAATATGGTAAAGTACTTCCCTAAAAATAAAATAGTAGCCAAGCATGGTGGCTCATGCCTGTAATCACAGTACTTTGGGAGGTCAAGGCCAGCAGATCACATGAGCCCAGGAGTTGGAGACCAGCCTGGGCAACGTGGTGAAACCCCACTGCTATAAAAAAATGTAAGAATTAACTAAGTGTGGTGGTGTATGCCTATGGTCCCAGCTACTTGGGAGGCTGGGGCAGGAGGATCACTTGAGCCCAGGAGGTGGAGGCTGCAGTGGGCTGAGATTGCACCACTGCACTCCAGCCTGGGGAACAAAAAACAAGACTCTGTCTCAAAATAAATACACAAAACAGCACCAATAGACTCAAGGACTCAAATTTTATATACCTATATTTTCTTCTTTCTTCTTAGGGATTCCTATATTCTAAGAGACACACATTATATTAACGATTTTTTCCCCTCTAAAAAACGCACATTTAAGTTTGTCCAGAGAAATAGAGGTGTTCTTTGCCATTTTCAAAATCTAGTTCCTTCCTTCTAAAATGTTAGTCATGGTCATAATCCAATTCAACTGTAACACTGTAAATCTCTGTAACTTCAATGAAAGGTATAATATACTCACGAAAACATGAGGAAATTTCTAAGTGCTTTCAGCTAATACAGGGGCACTGATACTAATGATGAGATCTGTATAAAGACGGTTTGGAGAAGCTATCATGTTAATGCACAGACAACCAGAAAAGAAGAGATATGCATAAAACTTTTCTTACCTGCTGAAAATTTTCGTTTCCCCAGTCTCTCAGTAAGACTCAATCTAACCAAGGGTTCTTCTCCTGCAATGGCAAAAGCAAAATTTCTCGATCCTTAATCAATTTTTCTGTATTCAGTAACCACTTATGTGTACAAAGTATGTTCTGATATTAGCATGAACCCACCCAGAAAGTCTCTTGAAAATCAGGTCTTAGTCTTAAGAAAGGCCATCACATAAAAAAAGAGAAAAACCCCAAAATCTATTAATAATAAACAGCCAAATATACAGCCCAAATAGAAGCAACAGCATAGTACTACTACTACTACTACTAACAATAATAATTATTATTATTTTGAGACGGAGTTTCGCTCTTGTTGCCCAGCCTGGAGCGCAATGGCGCGATCTTGGCTCACTGCAACCTCCGCCTCCCAGGTTCAAGTGATTCTCCTGACTCAGCCTCCTGAGTAGCTGGATTACAGGCATGCATCACCACGCCCAGCTAATTTTGTATTTTTAGTAGAGACGGGGTTTCCTCATGTTGGTCAGGCTTGTCTGAAACTGCCAACCTCAGGTGATCTGCCTGCCCTGGCCTCTGCCTCCCAAAGTGCTGGGATTACAGGCGTGAGCCACCATGCCAGCCTAATTATTATTAATATTATTATTATTTTTTGAGACAGAGTCTCACTCTGTCACCCAGGCTGGAGCGGAGTGGCTCCATCTCAGCTCACTGCAACCTCTACCTCCTGGGTTCAAGCAATTCTCCTGTCTGAGCCTCCCAAGTAGCTGGGATTACAGGTGCACAGTACCACACCTGGCTAATTTTTTTTTTTCTGAATTGTACAAAGTACGATTATCTTTTGACACATGATCTAAGACAGTCATGTACCACATTACAATGTTTCAGTCAATATATAGCCTACAAACAGTGGTCCTATGAGATAAGGGCTGAAAATTAATGATTATTTTAATGTTATTATTTCTAATATTGAAAAGTCAACATTTTTCTCCTATATATTTTACTCATAAGCATAGCAAAATGTTACAGGTCTCACTGTCACCACTGCAATATGCATACTGTGCTGGAAGCATAACCTGTCTCAGTTTAGCCACATTAACTATTTTTGGATACCATGATCAACAATGCCCATTCTCATCTGGAATGAGGCTTTTTTTTCTTTTTGAGATGGAGTCTTGCACTGTCACCCAGGCTGGAGCACCTCGGCTCCCTGCAACCTCTGCCTCCTGGGTTCAAACAATTCTGCTGCCTCAGCCTCCTGAGTAGCTGGGATTACAGATGCACACCACCACGCCTGGCTAATTTTTCTATTTTTGGTAGAGATGGGGCTTCGCCATATTGGCCAGGCTGGTCTTGAACTCCTGGCCTCAAGCGATCCACCCGCCTTGGCCTCCCAAAGTGCTGGGATTATACATATGAGCCATTGCACCCAGCCTAGCATAGTACTAATTATTAATAGCAGTCAAGTAGAAGACAGATTGTATTCTTAACCAATTGGTTATAAAACTGAAACAATAATTTGCTTATGCACTTTCATGTGTTAAATGAAATCATACTCTATGCCAATGCTAACTCTCCGATATAACTTTCTTTAAAGGTCACCTCAGGAAGAAGTGAGCTCTCTTTCGTCTAACTTCGTTGTTTGAACTGCACATTTAAATGTATCTGTATCTATAATTCCTTATTAGGCTTAAAATTATCAAGTGAAAATACTTTATTACGGGCCAGGTGCGGTGGCTAACATCTGTAATACTAGCATTTTGGGAGGCCGAGGCAGGAGGATCGTTTGAGGTCGGCAGTTCGAGACCAACACCCATCTCTATCAAAAATACAAAAATTAGCTGGGCGTCATGGCGGGTGCCTGTAATCCCAGCTACTGGGGAGGTTGAAGCAGGAGAATCACTTGAACCCAGGAGGTGGAGGTTGCAGTGAGAGGGGATCATGCCACTGCATTCCAGCCTGGGAGACAGAGCAAGATTCCATCTAAAAAAAAAAATTTTTTTTAACAAAAAAACTTTATAACAGTTCTTTATAGTCACTTTAGTCACATGGCAAGCCAATAAATGTATTGGGTGGATATAAACAGTAAATGGAAAAATAAATGTGAGGGCTGCTTGGAAAAGAATTTCAATCTTTTAAATATCAGAGCTGAATGTACCAACCTTTCATCTTTATATCTTATCAACATACTAACAACTTCCTGAAAATTCATCAAAGGTAAAAGATACCCAAAAATGTTGCATTCCCTATTATATAAAAGTAGAGGCTTGACAGAATAAGACCAACCTATACCTTACCTTGTTTGCTGGAGAGAGTTACTGTCCTCACCACAGTCCTAACATTTTCCTTTTCAGGACCTGGAATGGGCTCAGGGTGGAGTAAAAGACTGGAAACTCCTGAAGAACCCTCTAAATAAAGCAAGTCAAGAAAAGCAAATAATTTAGGAAAATAATGCTACTAGAAGTCAAAAAATTTGTTTTTGTAACCAGTGCAGTCCAATACAGGCTGCTATTATGACTATACGCCAATCAGCCTTTCTGTATCTGTTTGTCTACAGTCAAACAGAGTAGTGGGGAGGGGAGCCTTGGGCATGATGTGAAAACATAATATAAAATTATTTTGAGTGACTTAGGTACCCAACCTGCTTTTGTTTACCAATAAAGCTAATATTATCCTAAAATTAACTTCGGAGATACATTAGCCATCAGGTGTATCAATCCAACCTATTCTATTTAAATTTAATCATCTGGAAAATACAACTCCAAGGTTCCTATAAAGCAAGCCTTAAAACAGTGTTCTTAGAACCATTTCTCTCTACATGTACTATACTTCACATTATAAATTTTAGGATTGGAGGCTGGCTCATACCTGTAATCCCAGCACTTTGGGAGGCCAAAGTGGGAGAATCATCTGAGGTCAGGAGTCCAGACCAGCCTGACCAACATGGAGAAAATCTCTACTAAAAATACAAAATGTGGCACATGCCTGTAATCTCAGCTACTCGGGAGGCTGAGGCAGGAGAATCGCTAGAACCTGGGAGGTAGAGGTTGTGGTGAGCCGAGATGGCACCACTGCACTCCTGCCTGGACAACAAGAGCAAAACTCCCATCTCAAAAAAAAAAAAAATTTTAGGGTTGGAAACACAGATCAATCAGGCTGAGGTAAGATCCAAAAGAAAATCCTAGCAGCTCTTGAGGAAGAACTCTTCTACTAGAAAATGAAGTTTTTCCTCTCTTAATTTTTTTTTAAATCACTGTAAGAACTCACAGAATGAATATAATTCTTTTTCTTTTATTTTTTATTTTATTTTATTTTTTTTTAAAGATGGGGTTTCACCATGATGGCTAGGCTGGTCTTGATCCTGACCTCAGGTGATCCACCCACCTCAGCCTCCCAAAGTGCTAGGATTACAGGCGTGAGCCACTGCACCCAGCTATGAATATAGCTCTTATATGATGTTCTTTAGAGCTATATTGCTCAAGACATACAGGTTCTTTCATTCTTTATGTACCCAGCTCTGAAGAGTTAGGGACTGAAACACAGCTGCAATGAATTAAAAACAACAATTTAAATAAGTCTGTGTTTTACTTCAAACTGGCCATGGAAATCAAAATTTATTTGTTTATTTTGGCTGCTGCGTCTAGAGGTGTCTTTAGTATTCTTCCCTAGCAACATACAACTATTCATGCCAAAACTTATGATGACTTACCACCTTGCTTCTTAGATTTTTCCTTCATTTTCTTTGACTTAATTTCCTCAAGAGTTTTTATTCCAAAATTCAAACATTCACCTGAAAAATCCAAATAGAAATTATATGAGAAACTAGAGCCTTTTCATCTTTGTATTTTATCTGTACGTAGCAGGCATTTATTTTTTGAATAAATGATCGACAGAAACTAAGTATAGGTATGTATGTGTGTAGCACAGGAAAATGAAGAGGGAGGTGAATGATTGTGAACTAAATTTTAAAGGCAGTTTTTAAAGTTTGGACACATTCAAAAGTGCTTAAGATTTGGCACCAATATAGCCTTTTCTTACCTTGCTTTAAATTGACTGCAGGTTTCCGGGCAGAAGTTACTCGTAATCCATTGTGAACTTCAGGAGTCGGTTGCAGGGTAGGTGTTTTGGTTTCATCACCTTCCTCAGAAAACTGATCTACGTGTCAACATTTAAGGCAAATTCACAATTAAAAATAAGCCTACAGCTTTAATCTTGATTCTGCCCAATTCACGATGTGACCTTATTTATTTGCCTTAAAGAAGGAGTCAGACAGAACTTACCATCATCATCTTCATCATCATCTGCAGCATTAATTACAACAGGTGGATGCGTGGGGCTAGGAACATTTTCCGAACTTTCTACTTTCATAACACTCCGCAGCTGGGGGGAAGGATTGGACTGGACAGACAATTTGTTCTGCTGAACTGAAAGTTGGTTAGCCTTCACTTCCTCTTCTGGTGACTCAGGCACAGTGGGCAACACAGCTAAACACACAAAAATCAGTCATAAATTAAAAACAGAATATACAGCCCCAATTTACCAAAAATTCCTGACCACCTATGAAAACTATGGTGCATTTGCCCTATGAGCATTTATGTCTTTCTTTCTTTTTTTTTTTTTTTTTTAGAGGCAGGGTTTCACCATGTTG